GGAAATCATCGTTCCACCTATCCTCGGGGCCGATCCCCGAAAAGCAAATGTGAAAACATTTCCTCGGGCTGTCCTCGGGGCGTCCTCGGGCTACAGGCATTTGGCGGCGATTCCCGAGGTACCCCACGAGGTGCCTCGGAGGTCGAGCATCCGCGTAAATTGGGACGGCGACAGCACCCTTCGACGACGACAATTTTTTTGGAGGCTGGTCCAATGCAGTTCCTACCAGACAGTGCACGGAAATGTTCGGCCGCCAACATTCGCCTTCGAGGGAACTCACGGGAACGGTAACCGTTGGGGGACGGCCGGCCTCCGCGAACGTTTCCAGGCGTTCACAGTCCCTCACGCTGCCCGGCGCCAAACGGAAAAGGGTCCAACGGTCGACAATTTCAAATACTTCAGCCCACAAGCGTTCCTGCCACCCACCGCAGACTGCAATGTAAATCGGCAGAGGGCATTTTTTTGCCCGATGCTGTTGTCTCCTATTTGCTGCCGTCTACTTTGTCGTTTGCTGGAGGTGCGCTGTCGTCATCTGTTTGCTGCCCGTCCCCACGTGCCGTTCATGGCCGACGTCTTCCGAAGGCTGCCGCTGCTTGTCCTGGTCATCATTTTGTTTCTTTCCGCAATCTCACAGAAGACACGTGGCGACATACGTAGCTTCTCGCGGACGTAGTCTTCCGTGGCGTAGTCGGCAGGGCACAGATCCTCCCACGTCCCCCCCGTCCTCCTTTTCATCCACCACCTGGGCGTGGCTCTAGGCAGAACGCCAGAACCCATGGCGCAGCACACCTGGAAGACGGCGTCGCAGATGGCAGCGGTGTCCAGCCCTTCCGCCGCCGACCGTGTCGCCTTCCTCGTCCATGCGCGAAGCTGCGCGTTCATTCTTCCCGCAGTGCTTTCCATCTGGCAGCGCAGCAGCACAACGGCAATGGCTGCGGCAACCGCTGTCCTTCCCGCCGTCGACACCTTCGAACGCTCGTCTTCACCGACATTCCCCATCGCCAAACAGGGTGCATAAGACATCGCCTTCACCGCGGGCAACGGACTTCGGCGACATGCGAACACACGACCGAAACGCGACACGTGACGACCACGGGGATGGTGCGACGGAGGACGCCATGAGAGCTCGCAGGAAGCTATCTGCTTATCCGCACGCAGTGAGGACGACAACAACCGTGATGATGTCTTCTTCATTGATCCCGTCTTAACGCTGATGGTCGAATGGTTGTCCACGCGCCGACCCTGCCACCTCGCTGTCCAAGGATGTGTGCTTCCCGGATGACGTCGTCCACCACAATGAGGTCGACAACAACCGTGATGACGTCTTCTTCACGCTTCCCATCTTAACGCTGATGGCCGAACGGTTATCCACGCGCCGACCCTGCCACCTCGCTGTCCAAGGATGTGCTTCCCGGATGACGTCATCCACCACCCGCCGCAGCACCCACCCGATACTCCTACGCCGCACCAGCCTCTTTCGAAATTCAAATTTCAAAACGGGAGGCCCGCGCGCGCGTTTTCCTTTTTTTTCGACCCCGGCGCCAAAATTTGAATTATCGCGCCACCTAGGGGCAGACCACGCCCGACCACCCAGACATCAGATCATGGACCACCACCCACAGCCCCGCCCCGCAGCCGCGTATTTTATTATGAACATCCCCGCGACCCGTCCTCGGAGCGTCCTCGGGATACCGTGCCGAGGACGAGTGCAACGAAGGCGGGAAACTCCTCGGGCGACCTAAAGGAAAACTCCTCGGGCCCCGAGGACACCCCGAGGAGTGTCTAACGAGCCCCATACTCACACGAGGCACTTTTATCCCACAAATTGCAAAATTTGCTTAAACCACCACTACCTCCACCAGCGTTGGGAAAAATGGAAAAAGTGGCTGTTTTCCCAGGTTTTCCGAACTTTTCAGGCTCGGCAGAGGCTCGGCAGTTGGGCCATGTGGGCCCCTTTAAAAACCGAAAAGAAAAACAAAAGACCAAGGTAGACACTCCTATTGAAATCCTCGAGCAAAAGGAAAATTTCCTTTTGGCCCAAAAGGAAATTTGGGCCCTTCGTTCCACCTGTCGTCGGGGACGTCGCCCGAGGACATTTCCTTCAAGCGATGTCAGAAAAGAAAAAGAAAAGAAAAAAAAAATCAAATGTGCTTGAGGCCTTCAGCCAATAGGGTGCCGCCACGATCCAGATTCTCGGTTGTAACGCCTCTCTACCCATGTGCCCGCTCCTCTCCGTGAAACTCGGATTCCTTTTGCCCAAGGGACTTCATGAGGTCCCTTGGGCAAAAGGAAGAAACGGCTGGGGAATCCTCAGAGCCCAAGGAATTTCCTTCGGAGTGTTTTCATTTTTTTTTTTCCGACTGCATCCCTGAGGATAGGTGGAACGAACAATTCCTCGGGGACTTTATGCGCCCAAGGAGTGTCTAACGAGCCCCCAAGTCCAGGAAGGCCGTGCACGAAGTTGTGCTCACACCAATCAATTGTGGCCAGTTTCAGGTGGCCGTTGCTGCTGTTTCTGTTTTGTTTCTTTTTTTTTGTTTTCATGCCCTGCCAGGGAGGCACGGCGCAGTCCACGGGGTGCTGACACTTTGTGAAGGAGGGCATGCCCACACCACAACTTTGCAGAATGTACGAACCCGCTTTCCTGCCTTAAACCACCAGTACCTCCCCGTTGTTTTTTAGAAGTCGCGGCCGTTAATGCGCCGCGACTTCCGGGGTCGGGCAAGCCAACACCCGGTCGCTGCGTTAAAAAAAAAAAACAAAAAAAAGAACAAAAAAAGAACAACAAAACAAAACAAAACTAGACAATCTCAACTTGCCAATGCCAGAACAACGCTGGCCGGAGCTGGGGTGTTACCCTGTAACCTGCCACGGCAGGAGCGCGAGGCCTTGTAGAGAGATCTGGGGTTTGTCGAGGGAGGAAGGCAATCCAGTGGCGAATTGGGGGGGCCGCCTTGACACCCTCTGGGGCCGGGGATAGTCTCGGGGGTGAGAAGAGGTCAGCTATGGTTGATGTTGTTTTGGTGGGTACTGCCTTTGAGTAACAGTGTCCCATTATAGGGAGGGCTAGGAGTTGCTCTCAGATTAGGAAGCCGGAATAGCATAGTATTCACAATCCTTTAGATCTAATAAAGGTGGTGCACTCAATTTCTTTAGAATTCTTAAAAAAAAAAAAAAAAAACATAATCATCTTCATCATCATCATCATTAGTATCATTATCTCATCAATGTTACATTAAGCTTTCTGGTGTCCTGGAATTTTTGGGCAGCATCGAGTTTTCTTCCACATCCGGGATATAGGATTTCAGGGATGGTCGAACACGGACCGATATCTGCAGAGTTGTTCTTTTCTGTGCCCCTGTTTTGCCGACGCCAGAACGACGCTGGCCGGAGCTGGGGCGTTGCCCTGTAACCTGCACAGGCAGGAGCGTGAGGCCTTGTAGAGAGATCTGGGGGTTGCCGAGGGGGGAAGGCAATCCACTGGCGAACCGGGAGGGGCTGTTCCGTGGCGAGGAGAGATCAGCTATGGGGGATATTGGTTACGTCGGTATTGTCTCTGTTTTACAATGTCCTGGTGCAGGGAGGGCTAGAAGTTGCTCTAGGATTAGGAGACCAGAACTGTTGATATAGCATAGCTTATCACAATTAATACATTTTTTTATCACCATTAGCATCATCATTAGTAGTATCATCATCATCATCAGGATCATCATCATCATGAGAGCGAGCGCCTTGCGCACGCGCGCCCGCAGAGGCTCTTGTCGGCCCGCGTCACAGGTTGACGCGACGTCCGACAGACTTGGTCGGAACTAGTGGGAAGGGGGGGATTCGGCTCATGTGCATTGGCTTTCGCTAATGCTGATGGTGTTTGGTGAAGATCGCCCCGGCAAAGGCAAAGTGTGGGTTCGGTGCTTTTTGATCGATTTCACCATATTCGTCGTCACGTTGAAGGACGTGACCGGGATGCATGTCGCTGCTTGAGGAGGTGACTGGGGTGCATGTCGTTGCTTGAGGAGGTGATGTCTACCTTGGTTCGTTCGTCGACAAAAGGCTGGTAATGTATCAAAGTGTGGGTTCGGTGATTGATTGATCGATTTCGCTATATTCATCGTCACGTTGAAGGACGTGACCAGGGTGCATGTCGCTGCTTGAGGACGTGACTGGGGTGCATGTTGATCGAGGAGGTGATGTCTATCTTGGCTCTTTCGTCGATATAAGTCCGGTAATGTATCATTAATAGAGCTCTCCCCGACCTCGTCACTTTCTGGTGCTTCTTCGTGGCTGTATGCAAGCAACCAGGGCGCATGAGGTCGTAGGGCTCTGGTTGATAAAAGATTTGATATCTTACCTGCCGGTATCGCTCGTTGTTCTTCTGAAGGGTTGTCAAAATATTGATATCTACCATCATCGTCTAGTACCATCATTGTCTACTATAGCTTTCGTACATAACTAGGGCGCATGCGGCTTGATGGGCTATGGCTGGTATAAAGTCTTGATATCTGGATCGTCCATTGCTTCTTATGGGAAGGGATGTGTGTAATCATTGGTTCGACGGCCTCTGCTCAGTCGAAATATCGACTACACAGCTCCCTCCGCCTTCAACGATCACTACGTCTTCTACATAAAATTTCGTCAATAGAACTTAGTTGTTCATTGGTTCGCTTTCTGGCTTCACCCATCATTGGTGCTCCTGTTGTGATAGGTGAAGTAATGATTTGGAAAGCGACGTGCGCGTATCCCTTGGCTTGATTAGCAAAATGTGGGATCGGCTTGATTCATCTTTTGATGTGCTCTACTCACTTCGGCTTGATTCTATTATCGATGTGCTCTACTCACTTCAAAGGTAGGCAATGTGGTATGTCCTCGATTATCAGCAACCTTTCGGTATGCATAGTGTCATGTTTTTATCATTCCAGCGGGAGGTGTAGTGCTTTAATCTCTCCAATGGGAGCGATTGGAACGATTCATTGGCTAGTCAACACTGATTTGTGCTGCATTGAACGAGTTTGGCGAGTGCGACGATCTATGTCTTGTATTGGTATGATGATCACTGGTTCGACCAGTCAAAATACAGTGTTGCTGTAGTAATGTAAAGGAATGAGGTGTGTTGATTTACGTTTCGTGGATCACAGGTGTCTGAGGTAAGTAGGCTTGATTAAGTGATCATTACTTCTTTCGTTCGTTTCCCTCCGAATGGTTACTAATAGATATATTATGGGGATCGGTTCTTTTTTCTGCTTCGCGCGGTAGGGATATTCAACCAATCAACGTCATTATTTTTTCACGTAGAAGGGAGACAATGTTGGAATGTCATCGTTCATCATTGCTTTTTTGTTCGGAGGGAGGTAATGTGGAAGATCATCGTTCGGTTGGTTTCATCCAATCTCGGTTCGAGTAGTTTCGTCTCGCCTCTGGGGTAGGGAAGCTATAGTCTCTGTGATTGGATATTCTGGGGTTGTGTCATTCGCCACGTGAGGCAATGTTGGAATGTCATTGTTCGTCAATGTTTTTGGTTCGGTGGGAGGTAATGTGGAAGGTCATCGTTCGGTTGGCCTCATCAAATCTCGGTTCTAGTAGTTTCGTCTCGCCTCTGGGATAGGGAAGCTATAGTCTCCGTGATTGGTTATCTCGGGCTGTACCATTCGCTACGTCTGGAGGTATTTGGATTGTTGGGATGTCTAGTCTGCTTATTGGTCTTAATTATCACTTGGATAAGCTACGATAGTAAGGGGATACGTGTAGCTGTTTCGTAGCTGTTTCGATTGCGTCGAGTTTCGTTGGGCTTGTCCAGTATGCTGGATATCCAATCGTGTTGCTGACAGATGTAGACGTACGGATGATCAGGTGGTTGTGATTGGTTGGTTCCCTGGTTTCAATCACATCTCTGGTTAGTACTATGCGAGGTCGGGAAGCAGATCAGAGTAAGAAAGATGGTGATCGGAATAAGCAGTTCCTAGGCTCCCATTGTTCGCAGTCAACTTTGATACATGGTTGAGTCTGGGGGTGAAAGTGGCGCTCATTGCCTGTGTGGCCGAGCGGCCTTCTGATCGCCGTCCCCTCTTACGCAGTATTCACAGTGCTCGCAGACAAGGATAAAGGATTGGAGGTCGTCGTTCTTTTGATTGCCAGGGCTGCCTTTTGTATGTATATGAGCTGAAGGTAATCCCTTCACATTCTCTGTGGCAGCGTGAGCACTCTTTCGTGAAATGGTAAGCTGGCTATGAGGAGAGTTGATAACAGGGAGAATCAGATCTAATTCTGCTCAGTTTGATAGTGGAAGGTGAGACGCAGCAATCAAGGAAGTGACATTGTGGTAAGAGCAGGATACGAGAGGA